CCAGCTCCAGCGGCGAGTACCCGTCGCCCAACATCAGCGTGGGCCCGCCCATCCACCCGCCGCCCCACTTGCTGCCCTACTTCTACCCGCCGGGCATCTACCCGGGGGCGGGCGCCCACAACCCGTTCGCGCCCTCCTTGAACCTGTTCACGGGCGGGCATTCGCCTGCCGCCATGAACCCCAGCCTCCTCTTCAACGCTCAGTTGGCGCTCGCCGCCCAGCATCCAGCGCTGTTCAGCCACTACCAGAACCTGGCGCACCCCAATCCCCACCATCTCTCGCCCACGTCGCCCCTCCACAACCACCTGAAGGGCGGCCACCGCTTCACGCCCTACACGCTGCCCACCAGCACCTCGGGGGGCGGCATGGGCGGCTCGCCTCTGGGCAGCGCCTTCGAGACGGTCACTCCGGGCTCGCACACGCGCAGCCTCAGCAATTCGCCAAACAGCACCAAAGTTCGAGGTTCCTCCTTGTCGCCGCCGCTGAGGGCCCACACGGCTTCGCCCAAGCCGGAAGCCGCCAGCTCGCCCAGCGACCTCAAGAGCATCGAGAAGATGGTGAACGGACTGGATGTGAAGCATACGAGTGAGTTGATCGGGGACAGTGGCGCCGACAAATAATCAGCACGGGGTTCCGTTGGTGCATATTGCGGGGATCGTTTGCAATATTGGACGTTGGGGAAAACTTCTCCCAGTCGATTCTTTTCTCATTGGAGCGATACTCTAGTTCCTATTCGGTTAATTTTAATCGCATCCTGTACCACGGGGTGTTCAGCCAAGGTGCGTCAGTGTGGGGACATCGCGGCATGACTAGTTGGTGTGAGTCCAGGCGATTTGCAATAGTCCTTCTAGCTCGGTTCGGGGTTGCAGCAGCCTCCACATTTCCCCATATTGGCCCTATTTGCACAACACATAGGCAACGTTGGAAGCGAATTTGATAGAGCCGGGCTTTCGACTCTTCTATATATACTGCTCAACAAAATGAACGCCACACAGCCCGACTGGGCCCCAAAGAAGTGGACAAAATCTGATTGCTTTGAGCGGTTTGCTTTCTGTTTGCGCCGTTTTGAGCCCCTGGCAACTGGAAAAAAACAGCATGCTCCTAGTCGAGCAAAAAACGGTTTTCTGGATCTTAACATCAAACGTTTCAACATAAACGGAAAAGCTTGCAACAGTGTTGGAATTTTCAAAATCATTTTCAGTATCAAAAAATCAGATACCTGTGTGGTGTAGAAATACAGGTAAATTTTTTGTCCAACGATTTTGCACTGCACACTATTTTGATGCAGAATCACCCGTTAATCGAAAAGGAAATGCTCAAAATCGCGCTTCAAACAGAATCGCAATCCGTCTAAGCAATCAGATTTATTCAGTTGCAAAGTTGGTCCAAATTTGTGATTTTGTTGAGCAGTGTAGAAAGCGCGCCCAACAAACGAGGCAAAACGTGAGCGTCAACAACAGCTTTAAATGTTTTTTTGCACTTTGCGTGAGCTAATCAGTCAGATGGTGGAGTTTAGAGAGTCTTTTTGCGGAAAATCTGTTGGCAATAGGAGACGCACTAGATTTTTTTTTTATTGTGAAAGGTCGAGTTCGGTTAGTTGAAGAGAGCACTGAAAACGCGCTGAGTGTAAAGTGAACATTTTTCCAAAAGCTTTTTTTGGGTTTTTTTACAGTGTTCTTAAAAGTATTTTTCAATGAAATGCTTAAAAACTCATTCTTTTTGACATTAACCATCATACAAACTAGTAGCTGGATTTTTTTGTCACTTTTCCCCGTACCTGCACAAATTTTCGCAATTGAGGCGATTTTTTTCGAAACTCTGGCGATTAAATTCAAAGTCCGTAGCCGTAGGCGAAGTTTGACTTAAATTCGCAAAAAAATCGTTTTTCTGTCTTTTCTCCTTCACGCGATTTTTAACTGAAGAAAATCACTCTCGATGAACTGTTAAGCGCATGTGGTTGAAGTCAATAGGAAAACTAGTGTCGAAAAGTTTGCGAGAAGATCGGGAAAAACAGATAGTTTTTTACTTGATTTTAGCTGGATTTTTTAGATAACTTTTCCGACATCAACGCGTATCTTTTCCGAAACTTTAGCGATTTATTTCAAATTTACTTACGCTGAGCAAGGCTCTGCAACATTGCCCTTAAACATCAGTTTTTCTTCGTTTTCTCCATAAGGAATCTTCTAATCGCGAAAAAAACCAAAATGTTAGCTCGCTTTCCTAAAACGCGAGGGAAATGGGAAAAATTAAGTTTAAAGAAATTGCCAAGAAAAAACTGATAATTTGTTAATTTTCAGCATTGCAGCATGTTGAACGAACAGACTTTTCGGGGAAATCCCCCCCAATCTGAAATATTTGCGCCGTTTAATCGTTTTTACGGAAATCGTC